TTGCAAGTATATAAGAATAAAGGCAAAAGGAACGTTTTATCCATATTTATATATACATGTCTTTTTACAAGTATGTTTTATTTATATCTGAACTGTTACACATATGTCTGATAGCACAAGGAACAAAAACAAAACATTTAAAATTTAACGATTTTATTTAATCCTCATAACAAAAGAAATATGGAGGCGAAAAGAAAAGTCTGGTATTTTCATTCTTGTGTTGTTTGTTTTTTATTGTTTAAGCAGACCTCTCGTGTATCTGTCCTATCAAGCATCTCCGGTGTGCGTAATTCGTACGTATATGTGTATCATTATTCGAGGTTGTCTGTGCAATATTCGAATGATAATGTGTTTTCATTTGTGCGCGATTGAGCATCCAGTAGGCATTTTTAATCTGTGTTTGGTGGTTGTCTCTATGTTGAGAGTAAAAGATTTAAGTTACACCTGTTTTGGTTGTAGGTAGATATATCTTAGATCCTTTGTGTATGGGTTTTCTAAAAATTGGGGATATAATAATGTAGGTTTGACGTGTTTTTTTATCGATGGCAAAATATTTATCAGAACTCTCTCTAAGTATTTTCTACGCAATGAATTATATTTTTTCTAATTAGTATGGCATTTATAAAAAAAAAACAAACAAAGATAACTAAGACATATGTGTGTCTGTATGTACGTACTGGTGTTTGTTAATTTACACCTCACAGTAGCGCCTTAGTTTTTGTTTTGTGAATAGAATTCACCCCAAGCAATTGTTGTAGACATCAGTAATAAGGCAGCTGCGAAAAAGAGGCACTCCTCACACCCATGTTTTGTAACAATCTAACCATTTAGAGCCACAAGAAGTTTCTGTATCATCAACCTTCAAATCCTGATACAGAGGCACTTACGTAACTGCCTCTACCTCCATCCCCACCCTCGTCATTTACATTGCCATCACTTTCACCACTAAGAACTACCATACGGCTGCTCCCCTGGACAAAATTAGTTCTACCCCTTGCCACCCTCTTGTTTTCTGTTCGGATGAGTGCCAGATCTTCACGAGCCTAAGCTTTGGCAGGTATAGCATGTGACTGAGTTAATTCCATATTCCAGTTTGGCATTCGTTGACAATTTCTCATCTGACTGATTACGACGTTTCAACTATTCAAGCAAAAGTGCCCCCTTCCTTGCCCTTGTCATCATTGCGATAGCAATCTTTAGTAAGATAGGATTTCTTTTCATTTAACCCCTCTTCCTTTCAGAAATGAACTCTGCGCTTGGCTTTTCTTTCTTTCTTTTTTTTATCGCTTTTTTTTCTTCTTCTTCAAATTCTTATTCTTTCTTTGCTTTTCTTTTTTGCTTTACATTCTGTTTTTTTTCTTTTCTTTTCTTTTTTTTTTCTTTTTTTTTTTTTTTAATTCTCATTCGTTTTCCGGAATGTTTTCTTATTTTTCTATTTATTTTTCTTCGTATTTCTTTCTTTTATTTTCGCTTTCTTTCTTTTTGAAATCCACTATTCCTTTCACTCTCTCTCCTCTCTCTCTCCCCTTTCTCTCTCTCTCCCCTTCTTTCTCTCGATCTCGTTCATGTTGCTAACTTCCCGCCCTTTTCCTACCAATTTTCTTTTTCTTTTCTTCTAACATTTTCCTTTTCTTATACTTTTTTTTTATTTTCTAGATTCTGTCTCTTTCTTTGTGCTTTCCTTTTCTTTCTTTTCTCTTATTTTGCTGTCTTCATTTCTCTTTTTATCTCTCTATCTCTCTTTTTTCGCACTCTTCATTTTTGTTCACCACCTTCACCTTCGTTCGCATGTGTAAATATCATTTTAGACCGAAGAAGTCCTCAAGGTCGAAAAACGTCACGCAAATATATATATATATATATATATATATATATATATATATATATATATAAAACATAGAGCGTATTTATATCGCTACAAATAACTGCATTTGGATCCACAATAATTCCTTCTCAGTAGACTTTAGAATAATTTTAAATATAACCATTACCACCGATCCATTAATCGTTAGGATAATGCAATATACTTTGCTATCAATAATTCACCATTCACTAGCAAGTATAAATAGTTGAGTTAAAACACACATGAAGATTGTGTTGTGTTCAAGAATAAACAGACTGTCGCCGCTCTGTTTTCACCTGACAATATATATACAATATATATATATATATATATATATATATATATATATATGCGTGTGTGTCAGTTTTGCGTAAATATGGATGTGTAGAATATATTTGTATATGTGGATATCACATTGACATTGTATGTACGTTTGTATTGTATTTGAAGCTAGGTAATTAAATGGGCGTATATGTATTAACATTATATTAATATGTTTTATTAGGAGGTATATAAGTCTGTTTTTTATATATATTTTATTATTTCCCCAAAATAAATAGGCTGCTCCCCTATCTTTACATTCCGGTATAAATACCATTATATAAATTATTCAACAGCCCGTTTTCAACGAGCACCTGACGATTGCATCGTGCATGAAATTTAGAGTGACAGATAAAATGCATATACATATATATATATATATATATATATATATATATATATATATATATATATATATATGTGTGTGTGTGTGTGTGTGTGTGTGTGTGTATATATATATATATATATATATATATATATATATATATATATATATATATATATAATTTTATTATTTTCCTTTAAATAAATCACCGCTCAGTATTTTATCAGGCCGTTTTACAATACATCGTGCATGAAATTTTAGAGTGACAGATAAAATATGTTAATTATTCAATATATATATTTATATAATGTATATGTGTGTGTGTGTGTGTGTTAGGAAGTATATAAGTGTATATATATATATATATATATATATATATATATGATAATTGCATTATTATTTTCCTTTAAATAAATGAAATTTACAATGGCTGTACCAGTGAAGAAAAAAGAAATATATATATATATATATATATATATATATATATATATATATATATATATATATATATTTATATGTGTGTGTGTGTGTGTGTGTGTGTGTGTGTGTGTGTGTGTGTGTGAGAGAGAGAAAAGAGAGAGAGATAACGATATATGATTATATCAAGTACCTTATTGGGGGAAATGTATGACAAAGTGGAAAAGTTTCGTCCTTTTGCACTAACTGCGTTATATTGATGCAACTGCACATGAACACGAACCAAAGCTGCCTATATATAATTGTATGTGTGTATGTGTGTATAGTGACAATGAAAATATAATCGACGTATGTAGACAGATATTTTTATTTTTGTGTACTTATGACTTATACATGACTGATTAAAACCAGAAAATTCTCCTTTACTTAAAGTTTCATTGCAAATCTGATAGTATTAATGCAGTTGCCAACACCGTAGTTTGAACACAGATCACCAGTGAGAAAACTCGGGCGATTCCATTATTAAACAAGTAGATCACGTGATCGTAAAATTAAACGTATAACTGGGAATTAGCGTGACGTCTAAGCGATCACTATACTGAACATTATACGAATTACTATTTGACGATTACTATTTGAACAAGTATATTAGTGCGAATATTATTTGATGGCATTACTACTACGAGAATCTACGTTTACAAAGTCTCGTCTACAACGAGCATTTCGGAAGTGATAATGAGTGAGCATCTAACATTAAGGATGCCGTACAATAGTCGATCGAATGTTGCCAAAACTCTTTTATTCTTTGCCGAAAATCTTACATGTATCTCCCAATATAAAATCTGCTAATAAATATTGAACATCATTTATCTATTCCTTTCTATTCATATTTAAAGAAAGCTTCGAAAAAATACAACCTTTTAATTACGCTTAACCCGTATCGCTAAATATAAACCCCATTTTGTTATTTCGCGTCTACATCTCTTGCTTTTTTTTTTTCTTTTTATTCGCCAAGCTGAGATGGAAAACATTCCAACCGAAACCGTTATTCTGCTGTTCCTTTATTCTCTAATTCTTCCTTCATTCCTTGTCACCATATTTATACTTGTCATGTAGTCTTCTGCCCGCACCCAGCTTTCAGTATTATCTCTCGTCCTAAACCCTTGGCAGCATCTTCTGATCTTAACCCCACCACCGCAATTCGAGCCATGATAAAAGGTTGTTGGAGCCAGAATAGCACAAGGTACTGTTGTCACCTCTTATGTAATCATATCAACTGCCTTCATCATCGTTGTCGTATTTTCGGAGCGTACGCTGTTGCCGTCAACACCATCATAGAGAAAAGCGTCAACATAATCTGAAACATTCTGGTAGATGCTGTTTGCATTCCTAGAGTCGTTTACGTTCTTGTCTCTAAATCAAGCACGGATCGTTACATCCTCCTCCTCCTTCTTGCGAGTTGTTTTACAATATCTCTTCTTTCTTTCTTTCTTTCTTTCTTTCTTTCTTTTTTCTCATCTCTTCATCTTTTTTCTCTTAAACGTCTTTTTTCTATTTTTGTTCATGTTTCTTTGCCTAGTCATTATTTTACCTAGCACTTTTTTTTTTTTGCTGGTCTGTCTGTTCATGTTAGAGTCATTAAGACTTCAGCTGACGTCATTTCTCCTTTTCGTCTTTTTTGTCAAGTCTTTCTTCTTTTCTCCAGGGCCTTTTATGTATGTTCATTACTTCTTTACTTTTCATTTTTGTTATTTTCTACGCGTCTTTTCTTTAACGTGTTGTTTCTTTATGACTTGACGTCCTCACGAGTTATACGGCATCCCCCCGTCTTTTCCATTATATCTCTCTTTACACAAGGTTCACGCCTTTTCTTTCACATTATGTTTTTACAGCTTCCCGTTTTGTCTGATTTCTCTTTACTTCACTCTTTTCTTGTCTTTCACGTTTTTATTTCACGTTATCTTCTTTATACCTCCTCGTCGTTTCGATTAATGCTTTCCATCGCCATTTTATACACGTCTTTTCCTTCACTATACGTTTTTACGAACACACTTCACGTCTTTTTCGAGTCCTCTTAATAGTTCACGTTTTTCTTATGGTCATATCAGGTTGAAATACCGGTTTTTGTATGATCACTGAAGTTAAGCAACGTCGAACCTGGTCAGTAACTAGATGGGTGACCACTTGCGAATTACCAAGTGCTGCAAGCTTGTATGTGAGGGTGAAGTAAGAGATAAACGGTTAGGAATTGAAAATCAAAAAGCCGAGTTCAATTCGTTATATTTACTTCAGGGCAAATATAATTGGGAAGGGTATCAATCCCCCTTTCGTCCTCCCAGCTATGGGTTAATTAGTAGGAACTGTATCAGTATATCTTTATTATTTCCAAAGAATCCTTACATTCTCAAGATGCGTACTGGTTTTAAAATAACTTGCAAAAGTGACAGAACTCAGTTTGAAAACAAAAATTTCAGTTTACCATGTAGTTGTCTTCCTAACGGTATGAGTCGAAATAATGGACACCGTATAGAAAGCATACCACACAACTTGATATTATTCATAAGATATTTCTTGGAAATATATATTGTTTGACGGGGAAAGACAGAGTCTCAAATGAACAACCGACGATAAACTACATTCGAGTCCCAAGTAAGACTTTAAACTACCCCAGCCAACAAGGCCTCTAATCAGGAGGTTTTGAGGAACATGGGACCACATCTTAATTGCTGGTGTAACCAGGTCCATCCTGACCTGAGGTGGTAGGACATGTTAGGGTCCCAGTTAAGAAGCCGCCAACTGGAGTCAAAACACTATGAAAGTGTAAAAATAGGTTTTAATACGAGTAAAACATTTTTGTAAAAGATTATTATCAGCATTAAATTTTTGAAGAAAAATTATTTCTAGCAATACATTTTTGAAAAAAAAAAATACCAGCAATATATTTTTGAAAAAAAAAATACCAGCAAAACATTGCTGAAGAAAAAAATATTAGCAGCAACAAATTTTTAGAAAATAAAAATTTTGCCGGCATTAAATAACCCATTGAGATTGATATGCCGTAAAAACAAACCAAACTAAGCCAATTAAATGAACAGTGGTTTGGCAAATGTGTTATAAAAGAGGCCTTCAGTTTCAATTAGGATGGGCTGGCCATGTTAACATGAATCATGAAAAACTTCAAGCAGGGGTGTGTAACGTCAGAAAACCTCTTTATATACAATGATGAACTGAAAGATAATATCAAACATACTGGAATTCGACCACCAAAATTAAAGGTTTATTCTATTGGCCGTAGTCAATGGGGCAAATATGACAAAGTTGAATTTGGAACCATATCCACACAAGGTTTGAGCATACATGTAATCTAAGAAAAATTCGGAAGAATACTGAATATGTTCAGCATTTTTGCGTGTGAAAGATGCAGTGTGTTTGCAAAGCAGCAGAGCAGTTCAAGTGTCTCAAAGAAACGCAAACACGAAAATCTGGCGTAATTCAAAAGGTAAAATTTTGTCACTTATATCTACAGAGTGTGTTATGGTAATTTACCGACGCACGCATGGACTCTCCCAACTATAAATAGGAGCAGGTACTGACTTTTGGAGAGGGAAGTTTCCAGCAGTCAGCTCTGAAAGTTGGACCGAACATTCTTGCTGTAAAACTCTTGTTTGTATATGTTTGTATTACTGTATCTGTTAATATATTTGTTTAAATCCTTTCCTCTCTTTGTATCTTTATTTCTGGCCCTAACAAGGCTATAACAGAGTGAATCAAATTATTTTTACAAACGCGGGTGGCTTTCTCACATCAAAACAAGAACATTTTTGATAAAACCAGTATATATATATATATATATATATATATATATATATATATATATATATATATATATATATATATATATAAATGCTCCTCTCTCCAGCAGAGTGATAACCTGCATCCTTCTCTGCTGGGGAAAAAATCAACGGATAAATCTCTACTCCTTCTCAAAAGTTCAGAGCTGACTGTGAACCGGACGATAGGAAATTTGTTTTCTTATTTCATTTTTTTCTTTTATTTTTTGCATTTTTCTCTTATTTTTTCATTTATGTATATGAAAAACAAAATAATAATCAGTATTAAATTCAAAGTGGATGTGAATGCGTTTTAATTAAGTCGCCTTACTTCTACGTCTGGAAACGGGCGAATAAACTCTACAAAAATCAATAAACGACGTCATTGTTAATGTGTGAGACAAAAACTGTTTGTAAATTCCTTTCATCCTTTCTTTCTTTCTTTCTTTCTTTCTTCCATCCCTTCTTTCTTTCTTTCTTTCTTTCTTATTTATTTATTTATTTCTGTTCCTTTATTATTTTCGTTCTTTCTGTCATTAATCCTTTCTTCCTTTCTTTCTCTTTCTTTCTGTCTTTCTTTCTGTGATTCTTTCATCCTTTTTTCTCGTCTGCTTTATGGATTTATTTCTTTCATTCCTTCCTTCTTTTTTCTTCCTTTCAATCATTCTTTCTTTCTTTCATTCATTCTTTCTTTCATCATTCTTTCTGTGTTACTTTCTTTCTTTGTCACTTTCTTTGTTAATTTCTTTCTTTCTTTCTTTCTTTCTTTCTTTCTCGTCCATTTACTTCACTCTTGCCATTCTTTTCTAAGTAACCGGCTTAATTTGTAGCTCATGGCTAATGGGTAGGAAAATACTGCAATGTCAACTAATCGAAGTTGTCGTTCTCTTCGTTTTGCTTGTTGGAGACTATTTCAAGCAAAGCTTAACTGAATATTCCCAAAAAGGCATTATCTAAAATATTTGTTATCTTTGTACTAATATGTAGATCTTTGTTCTTATTTTACAGAAAGAATATTTCTTCTTTTAGTTTTTCTAATGTTATCCTTTTCTTTATAATCTTTTTTTTCATTTTTAGCCATTTTTAGACAGTTACTTTTTTCTTTACGCCACAATGCTTTTAGATCTCTAATCTATTATTTGTTGAAATATCCGCCATTATGCCACTATATTTGGTGAATCGTATGGCGTAAACATGAGAAAATCTGTATTTAAAGCCGATACATTTTTCCGATGTTTCGATAACTTTATTACTCGATATTAAAATAACTAATTTAAATTAATAAATTTGTTTAATAATTTAATTTATTTACATCTAGTTTTTAATAATGCTGCATTTTTCCTACTAAAATGAAAATATAAAAATGAATTATTACTTTTTTTAATACTTTAGAATCGTCGACTTTTCCATTGGTCTATATCTATAGTGAGTGTACTCAGCATAAATACAGTGCTTTATGTTGGTATACTGTCACATCGATCGGCATTAACATCATATTTATAGTCTTTTCAATTACATATTTATAGTGTTTTCAGCTAACGTACGAATATTTATAGTGTTTTAAAACAGCGTATGTACGAGGGTCGTTCAAAAAGTTCTAAGCCTCTCCCAGATGGAGTTGGAGATACAAGTCAGTTTTTCACTATTTTTCAATATAGTACCTGATGACATCAATGCACTTGGTGCCATCCCATCACAGAAGAAAGTGGCGTTCTGCACCTCCGAAAACTCCACAACAGCACATATGATCTTATCGTTTTCCAAAATGACGACAACATAGGTGGGATTTCAATTTAGTAAAACAGGAAGAAGTCCGATGGACCTAATTCTGGTGAGTAAAGGGGACGGGTTAGCAATTCAAAGACACAGTTGGCTGATTCAGCAACTACAGCTTGAGCAGTAAAACACGTTATCCCGGAATAAGAGCACACATGCCCTCAGCTTCCCTTTGTGTTTCGGCTTGAGACCTTCAGTTGCCTTACATCTGATGCATAATCAGTCAGTCAGTTATGAAGAAATGGAATACAGTCTGAATACAGCCTGGGGCATGAAACAGAGACTGAGCATAAAATGTTGATTCCTATATATACTCTCTCTTTCTATATCCCCTCTCATTATCTCCCCTATATCTTTCTTTTTCCTCTCTCTATATATATATTCAGTTATATGCTACACGCTTAGACGATCATGTATCTTTCGATACATGACTGACGAGGCAGATTTTTTACCTCAGTAGTTTGCCATTTCTTTCTGCGGTAGACCAGTTACCAGTTAAACCGAGCTGTCCTACTATTTACCAGGAAGAGAAGAAGAAGAGTATTCATAACTTTCTAATGATATTAGCCCGTAAGTGAATGTAATGGATTCGACTCAATTCCTCAGTCCGAGTCGTTATCCATTACTCCACCGACTACTGTACATTAAGAGATTTCCCTTTGCCAGATAATCTACCATGAGTAAATCTTTAGGATAAATAAAAAAAAAAAAAAAAAAAAAACAGAGGTCATCACCTTTCCAACAGACACTATCTGCTTGAACTTTTTCGTGGGTGGAGAACCAGACTGTTTCCCTTTTTGCTTTCAATCTTTGATTCACTTTTGAATGGGGAACCCAGTTTTCATCTTGAGTTACTCGTTTGCGGTGGAAGTTCTCAGGGTCAGCCTGGAATTGTCGGAAGTATCCTGGAAATGCCAACTCTTTTTTTTGCTTCTGCTCTTGAGTCAGCATTCTTGCCTCATCTTGCAGACATCTTGTCATCCCCAAAATCTTTCTTGAGGATAGTACTGCAAGGCGTTGGTTTCGAAAATTCAAGTCGGGAGATTTGTCTCTCCATGATGAGCCTCGCAGTGGACGACCACAGGTCTTGAATGACGGAGTTCTGAAGGCGGCCATTGAAGAAGACAGTAGTCTAACGTATGGTGAACTTGCAAGGCCGTTCAACGTTTTCGATGAAATAGTTAGACTTCACCTGCACCGCCTAGGTAAGACGTACAAAATGAGCAAGTGGGTTATGCAAACGCTGTTGGAGGTTCACAAGTGACAACGAGTGGCTGCCTGCGTATCGCTGCTTTCTCGCCATCGTACCGCATCCTTCTTCAATCAAGTGCTTACCAGTAATGAAAAGTGGGTTCTGTACGTAACTCGCTATGGACTTAGCTATTTGTTGAACAGTAAGACGTCTGTCATCCAAAATCATACAGTGAATGACATCAACTTGAGCTTTTGAATGACCTGATCGAGGGTCATCTTTGATGCTATCCCTGTCCCGCTTGGCTTCCGCATCCATTTTTTCACATTTGCATAGGAAGAAGGAGAGTCTTCAGGAATGTCTGTATGGATTTCCTTGAGTATCATACCTTTCTTTTGAAGATACTGTGTA